GGGCCCCTCTTCCTTCTAGAGCCCTAGCCCATGGGATCTTTCCCAGCAGGTCTCTGAAGAGGCTAAAGTTGGCCCTCCTGAAGTCCAGCGTGGCAAGGCTACTTACTGCCCTGCCTCCTCCTCGTTGGATCCTGAACTCCACCAGCTCGTGATCGCTGCAGTCAAGACTACCCCCCACCTCCAACCAGGCCCTCTCTGTTTGTCAGTACAAGGTCCAGCAGCCCACCTCTCCTCGTCGGCTCCTCCACAACCTGCGCCAAAAAGTTGTCATCGACGCACTGCAGAAACCTCCAGGACCGTTTGTGCCTCGCTGTGCTGTCTCTCCAGCTGATGTCAGGGTAATTAAAGTCCCCCATGAGAACCAGGGCCTGTGACCATGAGGCAACTTCCAGCTGCCTGTAGAAGGCCTCGTCAACCTCCTCCTCCTGGTAATGTATAGCCTCTACGTGTGTGAGGCTGTCACCTTTCCAGTGTCTGCAGAGAGGTGGAGCCTGGAGACCAGGAGGGCACATGGTCGTCCAGGGCATGCTGCTGATGGAGGAAAAGGGGCTCCTGCTCTCTGGAGTTTCCACCACCTCTGCTTGTCATCAGAGAACTAGTTTGGACTCAGYCAAGTCATCTACCTGCAAGGAGTCCCTGTTGGGAATTTTCTGGACGTGCATTCTAGCTCCCCAGAGGCCATGGCTTCCAGCAATTGCATGCACTATCTCCGGAGCCTACACAGCCAGATCSAGGGATGATGCCCCCATAGTTGTTGTAATCACTGTGGGCAGCCCCTCTCCATGCACTAACCCTTAGAGGTGGCACAGCTGAAGGAGCGCTTCTGTCCTCAGTGCCAAATGAATGCACATCTGTAAGGATGAGTGTTGTGATATGGCTGAAAACCAACATCCAAGGAAACCCTGAGGGCTCTTAGTGGAAGATTTCGGTGTCTTATCTTGCACCTGCACCTTTCTGGATGCTGAACCTGCCTGCCTTGAGGAATTAGCAGTATAAATTTGCCCTCTCCCACAAGCCAGCACGTACAAATTCCATCAAGAATGAAATGACAGGGAAGAAAGCCAGGTTCATGTGTAGAAAGATAAGGAAGAGGAGACAAGGAGAAATCTTCAAAGTAGCCTTGGGGAAAGGAGGATGGAGGCTCTGTGTTTGAGCCACTTGGAGTGGGGGAGGATGGTTTGTGGAGGTAGTTACTGATATAAGTTAATAAATAATAGTCTGTCTCTGATGATTCTGTTCCTTAATTCCAGTAGCATGACAGAGGAACAGAGTTTCTGTGCAGCTGCAGCCTTCAGCAGCAGCTTCTGCTTGGGGCAGCAGCTCCAGGGGCAGGACAGTGACACAGTGCATACACAGGAGTTGGGAACTTCACATCTGACAGGTTTGCTGCTCTGTGTCTGTGAGACATGCGACTCTGGTCCGTGAGGACACATGAGGTCACATGAGGRCACATGCAGGGAGGAAGGGGGCAAGCTGTTCTCACTGGTGGCCAGCGATAGGACGAGGGGTAATGGTCATAAGCTGGAGCACAGGAAGTTCGATCTCCAGGTGAGGAGGAACTTCTTTMCTGTGAGGGTAACAGAGCAGTGGAACAGGCTGCCCAGGGGGGTTGTGGAGTCTCCTTCTCTGGAGGTCTTCAAAACCYGCCTGGATGCCGCCCTGTGCCACATGCTCTAGGTGTGCCTGCTTGAGCGGGAAGGTTGGACTAGATGATCTCTAGAGGTCCCTTCCAACCTTRAATATTCTGTGATTCTGTGACATGGACACATGATAGTGCTAGAGAAAACTGTTAGAAAAGGTGAGTGAAGTCCCCCACTTCTTCCAACACACAGCTGTATTTTCTGCACTCTACACTTCTTCACTAGCGTGTTTTTCACCTATTTCATTCCTAGGAAGAAAGCTGCTACTGTTTCAGAGCACTGTCCTTGCCGACAGTAGAAACTGCTGTGAGTTGTAATAACTCATTGAGAAGTTTTTTTTTGCATATACATTGAGGTAAATAAAAATATATGACTTGCTGCCACTGGATTTTGTAAAGCATTCTAGAACTCAGTCMCTTGGTACTACAATTTTTGTATTTGCAAGCAGCCTTAATTTTGATTTCACTGAACATCTTGTTATTATTATTTACCTCCTTCACTACACTTGYGTTCCTCTACAGAAGCTGGAAGCCATCTGGTATTGGTGATAGGATATTGCTTTTCAAAAGAAACATAGTATAACATACTCTGTGCTAGTGCCAGCCTAAACTGGTGTGTTTATAGAGCAGAGAGAAAGAGCCACAGCTCAGTCCCGTTGCTGCCACGTTAACGCGCTGACCAGCTACTGAGTTCTCTGCTGTTGGCACAGCACCTTGCTGATCCTGTTAGGCCTGCGCTAGCCTGTTTGGTTCAGCTTTCTCGACATRTTCTGTGCTCCATAGTCTGTCCTGCATCAATTTATGAGAAAGTAGTATCACAGACTTACCCAGGCAAGCATACTTCCCTTTGCTCCAAAAGCAGATCTACATACCTGTAGCTATATCGCGCACTAGAATTGCAATGAGCAATAAGTTGGCATGAGAACTTCCTTGTTGTGGAAGTACTGCTCAACTTCTGTAAGATTATAAAAATGAGAAAAAGAGAAAGGAATTCCTGTTGTCTAATTTACATGTATGTATCCTGCTAACTTAACAAGCAAGATAGGGCTAATCATCCTTTGTAGAAGAACTGCAACTAGCTTTTGTTCTCAGAGAAGAAATATTAAAGAATTTGTTTTTGKTTTTTTTTTTATACATGCTGCMTGCCATACGATTGTGTAATGTTGATTTATGTGCTGTTACAGTAAAGTTGTGGGAAATTGCAAGTACTACAAAACATGCAGAGTCAGACCAATAGTAAATATGGGAAGTGTTAATTAAGAAAATGTGTTTCGTGTTCGGACACGTAGCCTCTACTCAACTCAAACAACGGAGCGAAGCTGGAGGAGGATGTTCGTGGCAGAGACAAGAGCAAGGTGCCCTCTGGCCCTGGAAGGAGAGAAGTATCCAGGAACAGGCTTGCTCCACATAGGGCAGAGTACAGTCAGAAAAAAAAAACAGCCCTTGTCCAAGATCTTAAATGTGACAAATTCAACACAGTTCAATTTTTTAAAGTAATTATGCAGGCTTGAAAATAAGATTGCAAGCCTGTTTTTTAGTCTATAGTCTATTAACAGTGCCGTAACAGAAGAAAAACAACTCTTAGGAAGGCAGAGTCACTGCCTAAAGAATGTGAGACGCAGCCTCTGTGCTCTTCTAGTAGAGACTAACGTGCCTGCAAAACAATTCTCTTGCCAAAATGTTGCTTGATATATTATAATGTACGTAACCACAGACTCACAGGCAGCTGAAACTRTGCAATCTTTCGAGCACACTTGAGTGTGTTTTCAGGGATAAAAAACTCTTCTTTGTAGACAAAAAAAGCCTCTGAGATACTTTATTTTTATTTGAAATACTTTTCTCATACCTGCTTCTAAGAGTGTTTTTAAAAAGCAAGGCACTTTCATGTAAATATGAAGTATAAATCTGTCTCCAAGAAAGCATGTTTTCAGAAGATGTTACTTTAAAAGGCAGAACTAGGAGGAGCATGGATCTGGTAGAAAGTTTGGGGTTGTTTTTATTCTTCTTGTGTCACTATGGGTTACAGGATGGTTCATGGAACATGATGCAACTCTCCTGCTTTCCTCTTGGATGGCTGGGACTCAAAGGGGCAGATGACTGCACTTTAACTGAATTATTTCTTTTTCCTGTAAGGATTAGTGATTTTCATCTGAATCTTGTTTTCTAGCACCTCAACTCAGTCCACTCATTGAAGAGTCTTGGTCTGCTAGATCAGCTCCTTCCAGATGCCCTTTGGCACGTGAGTACAGATTTTTGTCTGCCTATTGGCCTCAAACTTTATGGAAAACAAAAATTCCAGGTTAGTGCTCTTGCATTCATTAACTTTCTGATCTGCCCCAAGACTTTATTTKCTGGATGTTTGCTTGTTAGGCTAGATATTCTGCTGTACACCGTACTGGCCTGTGTTTTCCAAAAATCCTTCATAGAGAGGACCCTATGTTATTGCAGAAGACGAAGCTGAGTACTTTGGGTAAGATCTTTCTTTTTTTTTCTTTTTTTTATGTTATATTTTAGAAAAGTTTATTTAATAGAACTTTGAATCAAATCAGCCTGTTTTGTATATCATATGTCAGAAATTATATATGTCAGAAATTATTAGACAAGTCATATATATAGAATTATCTGATTAAGAACMATAACTGAATTGATAATTATTTGGTAAAGAACAGATTACATTGAAAAGAAAACATATGGAAAAAGTAGATAAATACTAAAAGACCTAAGATGAAATAGTATTTGTATTTTTCATTTAGCTGTTTTCTTTGCTAGTTTCCACAGGAAATAATTCAGTTGCTCCACTCTCAGACATTTTGGCCCAGCCATGCTGTGAGAATAAATGTGTTCTGTGTGCACAGGATTAATGAAAAGTCTCCCTGTGTCTTTTTAAATTATCMAGAAGGAATCGGACCACACTCCTTCCAAGTTAATGTCTAGGAAAATGTTGTTGATTTCAGTGATATAACACCAAGGAATGTGGATTTTTTTAAGCCCTCCTTTTGTCTGCCTCATTTGTGTCACAACTTTCCGGGGCAGAGCAGCTGGTATTTCAGCTGCCAGCATCTGCAGGCTAATGACCTCAGGGAAGGTTGTTTGGAGAAACCACGTTCCAGAAGAGTCTTGGATATTTGTTCTTGAAAGCTCGCCTTGATTTTAGCATTACTGCTGGTGTAATAAAAATAGCAAGGCTAAGCRGAGAGTGAGAGAAGAGGCTATTCATGTTAGTGTAACGTTCCCGTCCTGGTGGAACAGACGTGTAGTTATTTAGAGCACAGCTAGGGAGTCACTATGCAGTTAGAGTGGCCTTTCTAAAGTGGCCATCTAAAGCATCAGATGTGCCCGCTACCCGCCGGTAAGCATCTGCTTTCCCCTTTTAATGCTTTTCTTAGGCTTGGAATAGAGTAGCTCCTCTTAAAATATCTTCCATGACTTTGGGTGGGAATGGAGCACTCAGGGGTGGAGCGAGTCCTTCAGAGGAGAGAACTAGCCCCTGACGACAGTGATATTATAGGAATATGTGCAGCGTTAGTTCACTGAATGTATAAAACCTAAAAAACTTAAAAAACACCACTCGTGAAAGCTAATTATTTTCTCCTAAGTGGGATATATATTTTTTTTAGTGGAGATCAAACTTCTTGTTTGTTCTTTCTTTCTCTGGCAGAAGTGGCAAGTTTTCTGGCAAGAGATTTTGCTGTTCCTTCATAATGCATAATCTTGTTGTGTTTGCTCGATCTCTTCTCGCACTGGAAAGTGTTCAGTGGTGTAAGCTGCCAAAAATACTCCCTTGAGGATCTGTTGAAACTCATGTTTGGCAACACTGTTTTGAAGTTTGATATCCATGTGGTTTTTGTTATGTTGAAATCATATATTTTTCATTTTTATTATTTTATTTTGGGACATTGTCTACTCCACACACATACAAAAAAAAAAAAAAAAATTAAGCAGTGCCTACGTGGAAAAGATACTGAAATTGCTCACAGCTTTTAAAATATCTTTCTAAATATATATATGTTTCTACTGTAAACATAATTGAAAAAGTTAGAACTTAAGTGTTTTCTTTTTCATCACACATTTTCTAACTGAAACTACAAGACTATATTTTTAAATCAATTTTATTACCTGGTTTGTTTTTGACAGTGTAGTTGAATTTAATAATTGAGAAATTAAATTACATGATTAAGAAATTATATGGTAACAGTCACCTCATTAAAATCCTGTAAGTTACTTAAAAAAYATTACCATTAAATGAAAGACTAAATTTGATGTCCAGTATATTCTGACATCTTCTGCACAGTGCAGGTTTCTAAATGCCCTTAATTTCCCAGGGAATCTCTTGAAATTAAATATATTTGTTTCCCGAGAAAGAATATCTGATTTATATATTTATTTATTTTTAATTAAAAGCTGGGAATTTCAACACAGCCTAATGGAAAGAGGCAGTCTGCATGCAAGCAGCTCTTAAACCATCACACTTCCATAATTCATGACCTGGCCTTACTTAATCATTTGACAAAGGTTAATTAACTCCTCAAGAAGGAGGCAATCACTCATCAGGCTGTAGATCCCTGAAGGATGAGAAGTGGTGGAGAAAATCTGCCTTGCCAAACTAGTCCTGCACTAACACATTGAAGAACTAGCTTTGGTTTCAATCTTAATTTTCAACTCATAGCAAACTGGCGCTTCTCCCTTCACTTTTGCATATGACCTGTGGTCGTGAATTGACTAGAAAATTTGTATTTTGAGAAGAATCTGTTAGTTTTCTTACACTTCTCAAGCATCTGCCCACAAGCTCCTTTCTGYTGCTCTTTGTATATATGGCTGTGAGTTAAATAACACACTGCAAATAATTTGGGGACATTATACCTATCAGTGCATTACTTTTCCTCTGAAAGACAAATTTTCTTCCTTTTGTTAGGGAGTACCTAAGAAAGAGTAGGACCTATATGATAACAAGATTCTGAAGTTCTGTGGAGGAAATCAAGTGCCAAGGGAAGGCACAAGCAGGAGTTCACAGCTGTTCCGTTCACTCTTCTGAAGCTTCTGAGGTGCATCAGGGTGTTCAAGCCTGTCCAGACCTTTGAMCCTCAGAGAGCAGCAAGTCTTTTCACTTGTAATAGTATATGGGGATCCATGCAGTGGGGAATTCYCTTCACGTGTGGAAGCTTTTATGTCTTGTTCTTCAAGCTTTATACACAATTGCTACTAAAGCACCTCTACATGTATTTTTGGTGGCATAAAATACTATTATTGCACTAGGGTTAATCTTTAAATATTTAACCATTCTAGTAAGGCAAGAATTCCAGAATGTGAAGAACCTCCTTTTTCTTAAACCACAACGAGTTAATTCTCCCGTGCTCAGGAAGCTMTTCTGACTTCCTCTCTGCTAGAGGATTCACTGCAAAGATGTGTTATCTGCTGTAATTCAGGATTTTCCAAGTAGAGATGACCTGATCCTGATTCAGGAACACCTCTTTTATTTAAGAAAGAGATAGTCCTAAATAAAGAAATGAGTAGGAGCTTTAGAATTGCGAGCTCACTGAATGRAATCAGTTCACCTTCCAGTGTTAGTGGAAACTTTTCTGTGGACTTCGGGAGCMATAGAAACTGCCTAAAGGCTCTTGTACTCAAAGAGCTGATTTTTGGCACATTTTCAGTTGATATGAATTGGATCAGTTATCTCCCAGTCAAGGAAATCAGTGAACGTTTCTTACCTAGGAAACTTTGACTCTCGGATGACAGGTTATGCCTATTCATGCATTTAATTCAGTGYCTGGTTAAAAGTTTTGGTAACCTGGCATCTCTCAAAGTGCAGGAGTTGTTTGAACTATTTCTTGCTCTATTTTTTTTTTTTTTCAGAACTATTCTGCACAGCTCTGGCTACACACTTTTTAGAGGTCTGAAGAAACACTTCACTAGCATAAGAGAAAAGAAGTAAAATATGAAGAACAGAGTTTTATTGAAAAAAAATAATTTTAACCTGTACCTAGAAACTCTCATAAAAGCTGTAGATTGTAAATGTTGTGCAGGACTCACATAGTATTGTAATTGTTTGAATCCCTTCTATCCATAGGGTCAGTCACAATAAACATGAAAGATGAAATAGAAATTGTGAGGAAAGTAAATGGCTGGTATTTTGGATGCCTGATGCTCCTTCCCCAGCCCAAAGTAGATTCTGGTTCTGAGAGGAACAAAGTAAGCAGTTAGAGGATTCACTTCTGTGTGAAGAGGATGTCACCTAAAAGCTGGGCCATTAAGCAGTCACGCTTAAACATCTGTAGAAAAACTAATATTTAACTTTACTTCATTGCTCCCATAGTTGCAGTTAGAGGATGCTTTGGGGATGAGTAAAGCATTTAATTTTTAAAAAGTTTGGCACCTTTTAATCTTTAAGCCTTATCTGGCCTCATTAGTTACTTCATCAACTAGAAAACTGAGTCTGACCAAAAACTGGAAACAAAAGAATATGAAATTAATCAGAGCTGCTAAAACAGATATACTTTACAAAGGAAAATGAACCTTCCAGGATGTTTGGGGTTTATTTTTGGTTTTAAAGTGGCCATTATCCACGTAACAATATAAATTTATGATCAGATGCTTTTGACGAGGAACTGCTGGAACAAATTATGTTTTACTCAAAAACCTTTGCCATAACTTGTAGGATTTTGCTGAGGGCTTCTTCTGCAGTGTTGGAGTTGGAGGGTGGAGAAGGAGAAATGTATTTCTCCACAATCAGACACAAGAAAAGTCATTGTTCCAAGAAAGCATTATGACTACGTGTGACYTTATGGGAGGAATGAGTGTATTCAGGGAGCACAGCTCAGGCTGTTACATCCTGCCCGTCTTTCACCACGTCAGCACCAGACGGCTGTGACGCATACACGACCAATGTATGTGATGGCATTTATGTAGTTTTCCAGCCAYCAGCATACTTGGATCTTGCCCTGCGTGCCCTAGAGTTGGAAGCCTTTACAGATGAAAAAAAGCGTTCCAGGAACAGGCTGTCCAAAACTCCATCCTATGCATGTTGGTGGCTTTTGCCCAAAAGTCAAGCAAGGTTAATAACTACACAAGGTGTATTATTCACTACCTCAGTAATCTTGTCTTTGGGAGTATCCGAAGCTCTCAGATTGTGAATTTTTATTCATCTTCATGCTAAACTTCTGCATCTAGAGCTTCTGAATATTTTTCTCTATTCCTCCATTGAGTATTTTTCTCTTGGGTTCCTCAGTAGATAATTTTAGAGGGGTATGATTTGATTGAACAGCGGAACAAAGTTCTTTCTGGGATGGGAGCAAGATTTAGCGAGGTAGGATGTGTGAGGTTCTCCTGCTGAAACAGGGTGTCTCCAGGGATACAGTGTCTTTCTTTCCTAACATAATTTACAATGACTTCACATATTTATCCATAAAAACACTACAGTGAAAGGTAAGTGAATTCACTAGTAAGTGTTTCCCAGACTACAAGGTAAAAGCAGGAAAGTAATTGCTCTCTATACTATCCATGTCTTGTAAGCTAAATGTCTTATTTGTGTTCTGATACTACATGCATTRCAACAGATGTTCTTTCCTCCTACTTTCAGGTAATGGTAATTGAGGATGACAGCCCCCTGGCGAATTTGCTGCAATAAAAAATCCAGACACAGGAATGGAGAAATTGAAATGGAYGATATGGCAGACTCGAAAGAAAAAATGCAGATGAAAAAAGAAATCACTTTACTAAATGGAATTTCTTTGATTGTAGGGAACATGATCGGCTCTGGAATATTTGTGTCCCCTAGAGGCGTTTTAATGTATAGCACTTCCTATGGACTCTCTCTAGTCATCTGGGCTCTTGGTGGGATCTTTTCACTCTTTGGAGCACTATGTTATGCTGAATTGGGAACTTCCATTGTTAAATCTGGAGCCAGTTATGCCTATATCCTGGAAGCATTTGGTGCCTTTGTGGCCTTCATCAGACTGTGGTCTTCCTTGCTGATTATCGAACCAACAACTCAGGCAGTGATAGCCATCACATTTGCTAACTATATTGTTCAACCAATTTTTCCACACTGTGAGCCACCATATGATGCAGTCAGATTGATTGCAGCTGCTTGTATTTGTGAGTAAATTTATGATTGCTAGAAATTAATGATTCTATTTGGAGGGGCCCCCGGGAGATTTTTCTGAGATCTTACTCGTTAACCTGCTGAGATAATAATCAGTGCCTCTGTAGAAATGTGCTCAGATGCTTTCCTTCAGATGAATTTTATTTAGTACTGAGATATTAGAGGAGGGAAAGAATTCCAACAATTTGGCTGAGGAAAACCATATTTGCTGATTAAAAATATATAGTCTCTTAGGATCACAGGCCTAATGCAGAGTGTTTTAATGGCAACAATTTATTTCATTGTTTTTAAGAAATAGTCATTTATTTAACTGTTGCTGTTTTATACTACAATACTTCTAAGGATGAGCTATATTATTCTTCTAAGGAGATTTTTTAAATTATAGAATCTGAAATCTTATTCAATGTATATGCCACATATACAATACCAAGATTCAAAGCAATCCTTTATTTAGAAAGAGGTCCAAATTATATCCTCACCTGGCACTAAACAGGAACAATTCRATATATTATTTGAAAATTTATATAAAAAGCCTGTCCCCAGATTGCACTAGATTGGCATATTAATAGGAAATAGTGAGTGCAAATCAGGTCCAAATTCTGAAAATAGTTAAGTGCATCATTAACTTGACAGCTGACTATACACTATCAGCTAAAATGTGCAGAGACGACTAGTGGTAATGAAGGCAAGATGTTCTCTGATAATCTGCAGTTGGGTTCTAATATTCTTATTATAAAGAAAGGCTTTGGTTTTCATTTTAAGCACTTATAAAATCCTTTTTATTTCCATTAAAACTGAAGTCTAGATTATAGACAGAGCAAAGTAGTAATATTCAAGAAGTCTGACAGAGACAAAATAGCCCATTCTGATATGTGCTGCAGAGCACACTAATTGCCCATACCACATCTGGCCTGATGACTGCTCCAGCCATCAGGAGCTATACTTGGTACAAATGTCCCCGTTCTGAATTATAGAGCTGTAAAGGAGGTAAGTTTCCCATGGCATTATGTGTGTGTATGCATTATCAGCTTGTCAGGGTTTAAATTCTGTGCAAAAACGAATGTAAATAGGGAGAAGGAGGAGTTGGAGAAGGGGTTGATTGAATCCAACCTCTGCAACCAAACTGCTTAGTTTTGTTTCCTAATAGATTCTGCTGGAAGCGAGGCCTGAGAGAACTTGTGAGTACTTTTATAATCTTCAAAGTTGGGGATCAGAGCATGAATGACACCATTCCTGTCCCTAGGCACCGAGTAACAGCATGCTGACCTGGCTCCATCAGCTTCCTGAAAACAGCACCCAAGCATTTTGATGTAGAAACTATCCTTACTCTATACAGGGAGTAAAGTTTGAATTTGAAGCATARTTTTTGGAAAAACTTCAGTGTAGGGATATAAAAAAATCTCACCTTCTGCACGTGAGCAACTCTGCTGGCTTTGTTAAGATTTAAAGATTATTTAAAAGGAGTTGGAGTTAGTTCTAAAATTCAAAATATGGTGTGTTTTCTTCCCAATTATTGATGGAAAATAGCACCCTCAAATAAGCTTCTTCTTTTTAGAAAAAAAAAAGTCATATAAATTTTAAATTAGGAATTTCATTAATCTCAAAAAAACCTAAATGGTCTTGAATTGTTCAAATTTGGATCTCTTTTTTTTTTTTCTTGAAAAAGAGGCTGGTATCTAGAAGAGTATGTTTGAAATGTGCTTTGTATTATGTAAAAGATACACTTCTCCTCTAATGCAGATTCTTTTTCTTAACAGGTTCCTTAACATTTATTAATTGTGTTAATGTGAAGTGGGGAACCCGGGTACAAGATATCTTCACATATGCAAAAGTTATGGCTCTTATCGTGGTGATATCTGTTGGCCTTTATAAAATTGGTCAAGGTARGAATATATTTCATTTATTTAAATTCCTAAAAAAATTTGAATCCTGTATGGGGTTCAAAGTCTCTGCAGGAAAACCTCAAGGGAGGCRGTGAGGAGGGTGAGGTTGACCTCTTTTCAGTGGTGACCACTGACAGGACTAGAGGAAACGGCCACAAATTGAAGCACTAGAAGTTCCGCAGGAACTTAAGGAAACATTTCTTGACAGTAAGAGTGACAGAGCCCTGGCACAGGCTGCCCAGAGAGGCTGTGGAGTCTCCTTCTCTGGAAATCTTCCAAACCTGCTYGGACACAACCTCTGYCCTGTGCTCTGGATGTCCCTGTGTCTCCAGGGGTTTGGACTAGATGATCTCTAGAGGTCCCTTTCCACCTTAAGGATTCTGTGAAAATCAAACTTCATAAAACTTACATATAAAATGTTATTTACTCAGAGAAAAAAATATCTGAGAAAGAAGAGAGAAGTTTTAGGGTACCCTGAGAGTCTAACAGTTCTTCTATTCTTAGTGTGGCAGGCCAAGACACAATAAGTTCTCCATTGCTTTGGCTAAATGATAGATCGTACCAAATTAATATCAGTTTAGTGTTACCTAGCTGAAACATGATCCATCCTTATCATATGAATAAGGGCACTAGTGCTACGAAAGGACACGCAATGAGCAGCAGCAGTACTCTGTGAGGGGAGAGAAACCTGGCAAGGAGGAAGTTGTTTGTCAGCTATGTGGAAAAGCCAGTGGTTTTTGCTGAGAGGATGCATTTATTCTCCCAAACAAGGGAGAACAGTGCCTACTGGTGGGCGAACAGTGCTAATCCCTGGAATCGCTGTGAATATCACAAGATATCATAGCACAGATGAGGCATCTGGTGTCAGCAGCAGCAGTGCTGAAGTGAACACCCTGGAACGCTAGGGATGAGTTTACTCCAGAGTTACCTCCAATCCTTGCATGCAACAGGCGATGCAGTATTTATTAATTTAGGCCTCTGGTACATAAGAAGCTAAATAAGTCTTCCAGCTCTAGCTCTGTTGCTTAGTTCCTAAGGTTTCTCTTTCATTTTCTTTTCCTGTAAAATCCCTAAAAAGGCATTGCATCTTTAATTAGAATAGAGACTTTCCCTATTCAGCAAAGGAATTACCTCTTTCTCCTGCTGAAACTCTTATAAAACCTAATAGAAGTGATTGCCTTTCCATGTTTKCTGACTTTCTCCTTCCTTGGCTGCAGATCTAATAATGCAGCAGCATATTGAAGAAGTCTCGCTGGATTTATAGAGTATTTTAATTTAGCCATTATTAGCATATGTTAGTTARAACTGATTTTATTCAAGTTTCAATAAAAATGAACTGCATCCAGCCCTAAGGAAAGGAATGTGAAGTTGCAGGATTTGTGAATGATTATTTTTTCCTGATAAATTAAGCTGCTACAATTTTTAAATGGTGTGAATCCGTGATGGCCTTCCCRTAGTTCTGTCCCTACTGTCACAAATTGATCTGTGCCTTCAAACTGTTTCCTTTGAAATTCACGACCTGTTCATTTATGTGCAGCTGCTGTGGCACAGGTTGGCACGGGGAGCGTTTCCTCTGCCCTGTAATCCAGGTCAGTTCCTTGACATTTTTGCATGTGTTCAGGAGGAAAAAGGTGGAGAAGAAATATTAATATTATGAATGAAAAATGAGAAAGGCTGTTAACTGTATCTAAGGTTCATCTTTTTGAACAATGCTGAGCACTTAAGGAAGAAATAAAGGATTGGGAGGAGGAACGAACTAGACTTCTGGAAGAAGTTGTGATCAGGTCAATGCAGTCAAACAGCAGCTGTTTTAATGAAAAGAACGATTATGATGCAGTTTTTTTCCAATATGCTGAGATATGAATCTTATTTTAAAACACTGTCAATGTATCTGTTTTATACACGGATTTTTCCTTTTTCTTATTTTCTTTTTTCTTTTCTGCTTGCAGTTTTCTTCAGCAATGTCCCCAAAGCATGTGCAGATCTCAGCTTTGCCTTCCTCTATTCTAACAGTCTCCTGAAAAAACAACTTGATTGTCAATGAGAAAGAATGGTAGGAGTGGTAGGGACAGAATCTAGGTTACTTTTCTCCAGGACTGGGTTGCTATGGTGGCATCTATAAATTCTTCAGTTTAATACACAGGTTGTTTATAACAAAGACCTTTCTTTCTTTGTAGTAGAGATTTTGATGTGTTTATATCAGCCTTAATACTTAAACCCACTTCCATTTATATCAGASAGTTTACTTAGGCAAATTTAGTCAGGCCTTCTTCCTGTCTCTGGCATAGCAGTGAAGGTTTCTTACCTTTTGCAGCATTCTTTAGATTATCATCTCAATTGACTGAACTATCCTAAAAGAGAATTTTGAGACTGCTAACAACAGTGTCTGTAAGGAGTTCTCCCCTCGTTGAGTGCTAATTGATCTGGTGAAAATTAATAAAGGAAGGGCAAGTTCAGAAATAGGTTTGGTTGCCCCAGCTCTCTCTTCCTACTAGTCAAGAGTGCTGAGCACAGCACTCTCCTTCAGTAGTTTAGGCAAAGATGCCAACAGAAGACCTGTGAATTCTAGTAAAATTACACATCATATTCAAACAACAAACCTGGAAAAAAAAATGTGTTCTATCCTTGCCTGAATGTTCCTGTCTCAATATCTGTACTCTGAACCCTCCCTATTTGCTAAGTGAAAATATAACCTGTGCATTTCTGAGGTTTGCGGTGCACCTTGGATACCATAGGTCTTACTTCTTTTTCCATAGCTGAGATTTTGGTGTAGTGGGCTTATGTTCTTCAGACAATGACAGTTGATACCTGCCATTTATACAGGAAAAACAGAAAACCTTAGAGCTCCATTTGATGGTTCAGCAACAGACGCCGGGATGATCGCACTGGCTCTGTATTCCGCCCTCTTCTCCTACTCGGGATGGGACACGCTGAATTACGTCACTGAGGAAATGCAGAATCCCGAGAGGTAAATGTGTGTTTTGTTTCCAAATCTGTGAAAACTGCTCTGGAAACTGATGGTAGGGCAAGCTCCTCCGTGTTTGCTTCTGCTCTTTGCCATACTATTTTATTTACAAAAAAAATCCTCTTTTCAGAAGAAATTTTAGATATGAGAGCTGTTCTGATTATTTTCCACTCTCTCTCTCACCAGTTATATCACACTAAAAAGTCACTTTTCTCCATACATATATTTTACACCCTACAATTCAGACCAGAAATTTTAATGAAAGAACAAGCCCTTTCTGAAAGCAAGGAAAGCGTGGGTGCATGTAGCCCTCTAAATTCCCTACTTACTTTCAGTCAGACAGAACAGTTGTTATATTTTCCAGAACTTGTTTTGTCASCAATGAGGTAAGACTGCATCAAGGTTATGACTCTTCTATCTTGTGATCTTTACCCTTACTTTTTGTGGGCAAGAAGTTTCGTTTTGCTAAGCATGAAAAGCTAACTGAAAAAATAAATAAAACAAACAAACTCCATAGTAGCACTGGAAATATCATCTCCTCTCCGATGGGGTGTACAGTTCCTGAGGAGTGGTTTGCCTCACCTATTCAGAATGACATGGTGCACTTTGTCATGCATACAAGAGTCAGAAGAAAAGCTGTGGTCAAGTAAACATTTAAGTCTGCTTTCAAACCTCATTGCTGAAGTGTTCTCTTTCATTTGATTCCTATAAAAGACAATATATAAAGTTTACAGGTACAAATGCACMTTTTTTTCTCCGAAACTTGTGATAGCCACCAAAGCTGCTTAGGAATCTCAGATCTTATTTGATAATTCTATGATTAAAAGCCGTGCAGTAAGATGTCATGGAGACATCCATTTATAAATGTTTGATTTTGGAAACACTGCCATATGGATATTTTTTTATTTAAACAGTTTGAAATAATTTCACCACTTTCATTTTGTAGGAATCTTCCTATTTCTATTGCAATTTCGATGCCTATTGTGACTGTTATCTACTTGCTGACTAATGTGGCATACTATGTAGTGTTGGACATGTCCGACCTCCTCACGAGTGATGCAGTGGCTGTGGTAAGTTGCACAAACGATTAAATCAAAAGGTATATGTTTAACTGTGGAATAATCTCAGATAGCAGATTTCTTGGCAAACTAATTGAAATATTTCCATGCTGAAAGCTTTTGCTTTGTTTTAAACTTTGTTTTTTGTATAACAGTGCCAGTATAATACAAGGTACATATAAAGTACATATCCAGTAAATCCGTTTTTGTTAAATTCTCTTACATATTAAATAAATCCCTCTCCTAACACTACTTCCCAGTAGAGGGTGCTTTCATTAAGRGCAAACAGAGAAAGAGATATTGAAAGAAAGCCTGGCTGGTTTAAGAAACAGTCTGAGGCTATCATTCATATGTAGAGCATGCCATGTTTTTAATGCTGCAGACTGCCAGTAATATTTTCAAAACAAAGATATGTAGAGAAATATTTTTTTTAATTCAATGTTTTATACAATAATGCATGCCATGCTACAGTCAAGATTTGTAAAAACACRTTAAAGCCAATACAGGTTATCTGCTATCTCTTCTTGATGTCAGCTTTAAAAAAAAAAAAAGAAAAAAAAATGCAACTGTCATTTTTGATATTTACTTTGATAAATCAGTTTTTCCAAAGCTGATTTGATCACCTTGTCCAAATACTAGTTTCATTATGTTATAAGAAGACATGGGGTATACCGCTATATCTGAATGAGAGTTTCTCAGGATAGTGCATACATTTAATGTAATGACCCTCACTGTATTTTTTTTCTTTTTCTATTGCAGACATTTGGCAATGAAACCCTTAGTTATGCTAAGTGGATTATTCCTATAGCAGTCGCCATGTCTTGCTACAGTGGGYTAAACTCATCAATAATAGCAGCTTCTAGGTATGAAACATAAGATTTACTTCTTAAAGTAACTGAAAAGAAATCATTTCATATTAATCTACATTAGTACATTGTAATAGTGACACCTTTCTTTCATTTATGTTCATTTATCATGGAAGAATTGCTATGATCTGGCACATCTTCCAGTGACAGCACTCAAAGATCAGCACCAACTGATGAAATAAAGCTTATTTATTTATTTATATTTATCACAACCAAACTAGAGTTACTTTTTTTTTTTTTTTAAYTAGGCTTTTTTATGTTGGAGCCAGGGAAGGACACCTGCCTAAAAGCCTGAGCTTGATTCATATCAAGTGTTTCACGCCAGTGCCTGCTCTTCTCTTCAATGTAAGTGACAGCCTGACCTGGCACTCAGCCTGGGATTCAACCCTGGGAGCACTCAGCCTCCCTTGCCCTCTTCCTGGGTTTATCCTTGGCTTCCCCTCCACTGGAGAAATAATCAAATGGCTGGAATTTCCACAAGTAGTTGAGGTTTCACCGGAAGGGTTGTATTTTGGTGGGTTTTTTTGTGTTTTGGAGGTTTATTTGGGGGGGTGAGAGGGAGGGCAGGGGAGGTTCAGCCTCATCCATATTTATTCAAGATAAATCAAGGTTAGTCAATATTAAGAATGACAAAATAAACCAAAAATAGCAAATATATAGCAGTATAGACAGGAGTTATTTTTAAATCTTTCTATGAGTTTTCAGTGTATCCACCGGGAAGCAGTGACAGGAAGAGACCTCAGACTGTCCTCTAGGCAGATTTTCTACAACTCCGTAGTCAGAAAACGAGTCCTAAAGCATTTAAAATTAAATTCCTACAGTAGACTCTCATACCCATATTTACTTTGTCCTGCTGTTACTGAATGTTGGAATAAAAGGAAGCCACAAGGTTCAAAATTAGTGCAACTGACTAACAACTTTAATACATAAACACTAAATCTGCTGGATTAAAATAAGGGWGAGATTATGCACAAGTAAAGAAGTCATTCAAAAGTATTTCACTGTTGTTTATTTGAACATGTTTTGTATTTGGTGTCTCCTGTGTTATATAAGTTGTACAAGTAGATGATCATAATAATCCTGCTTAAAATATGACTTAATTACAGTTATTATTTCATTATGAATAGTCTTATTAGGGCAATTTTATTTGTACCACAAAGATGAGCTACTCCTTTACACGTTACAATTTCCATTTTATCATACATTTTTTTCTGCTCATCAAAAGACTGTATTCTTTTATTTGTTCTATTTGGTAGAGCAGCTGTTAAATTCCAGGTATTTTAGGTCTCGTTTCACCCTTTCCATACAGACAGTGTAGCATACTACAGAATTTGCTCTAATTATACCAAGGTCTAATGGTACTGTGAGAATTTCCAAAAGTGAAATTAAATTTAAAAATTAATAATTTTTCAAACTGAAGTGAATCAGAAAGGCCAAGTAAGCTGCTMTCTACAGGATCCTCCTCTTCTCTGTAGGCTCTCTAGAAATGCTCTGTAAGCATTTTCTGCAGGTGGAAGAAGAGCTTCACAAACCTTAGCTACATTCAGCCAAGCATGGAGCTGTCACTAGTACATTCAAGGAAAAGATATCAGTGGCTTTTGTGTCAGTGTATATGGGCTTTTCTTAGAATTCTTAAGTATTTGCCTCTTGCAAGGGCACGGTGTTCCAAGATATCAAATATCTGTGAAACATGCCCTTAATATGGTTAATATGGTTTATTGCTTCTTTATTTTATTAGAAAAGTATTATTTTCCCATTAAAAAAAATCCCATTGTTTTCTCTAGGGTTTAATGACTTTGCTTTATCTCCTTGTGGAAGATGTTTTCCTTCTCATTAACTACTACTGCTTCAACTACTGGCTCTTTGTGGGTCTGTCTATTGCAGGACTAATATATCTGAGATATACTCAGCCTCGTAGACCACGGCCTATTAAAGTAAGTAAAAGAACAGAGGAGATAAGCCATAAAACCCAGATGAGGCACATGTTTATGCACATGTAACTAGGGATCCATTATTAGTTATGCTGTATGCTATTTTCTTAAACCCTAAAAATCCTTTTAATATGCAAGATAAGAAACAGAGTAAATGTATTTGAGTTTTCACAAGAACATATTTTTCTGGTACTTTTGCTATAAGGTTGAAATGTATTGTGTCTGTTTATTTTCCTTTTCACTCAGCTTTAAAACCCCATTTATTTAAAAATAAATAAGGAATAAATAAGTGTTTGGGATTCTTATGTACAAATAGCAGTTTTGCTAGTGAGCCAACTAGAATAAAAATTACAGTCATAATGGATAATAGGTAATGATTTTTCATTTCCTATGACCATTTGCCAACTTAGCCATGCTTTGCATACACTTGTGGAACTATTGTGGAAAGGAACTCAATTTTTGMAGGTCAGATATTCAAGTATAAGAAGATCTCAGTTCTACACAGTTCTACTGAATGTGGCCATTCATAAGACTGGTACATAATAGTGAAATAGTCAATAGTTATATTTATTATTGACTTGTCTAATTTTAATCTGTAGACTCTGTCAGTTTTCCCATAGAGTGTTTCACTGCTTCTTTTGGTTAATACTGATCTTTGATTGCTTGTTTCCACAGCTTAACCTCCTCTTTCCTATAGTGTACTGCCTGTGTTCCCTGTTCCTGGTTATAGTTCCTCTCTACAGCGACACAGTTAATTCCCTTATTGGGATTGGKATTGCCCTTTCGGGCATTCCTGCTTATTATTTGGGAGTCTATCTGCCAATTGAAAAAAGACCTAAATGGCTACAGTGGCTCTCTGGTAAGCAATATTGTATTGTCTTAATGTATCAAAGTCTTTTTGATATTTGATCAGATAATAGAAAAAAATGAGTTTTTCTTAAAATTCTTTTCCTTATGACCTTTGCTGTGCTGTATACAGCATGTCTGAGACCATTTGATTCATCTCATGTTCTTGAAAACAAAACCACGCATAGCAATACAAAATATTCCACTATGTGGACATAATTAGTGTTCTGTGTCATCTAATATTTGTGGTGTTGAGCCATTGCAGTATGCTGGCCCAGTAAAAGCCCTGTAGGATTCTGCAGACTGTTGATTATGTATAAGGATGCAATTTGATACCTGACAAGACAGAGATACCATGAGACCATTGTCTCACTTGCTGCCTGCGTAATAGGAGAGCTGAGTCAGAGGAGTCTGTGCATCTTCCTACATTACAAAATAGTGAGCTACTAATTTGAAGAGCTGTTTTCACCCCTTAAATTCAGGCAAATTTTGAAGAGCAAAATTATTATTGTTCAGTTTGAACTCACTTATCAATCTGTGTGTTGATAAATACCTGATTAAGAAAATACTTTATATTTTTTAGTCTGTTTTTGCCTTTTATCCATCTGTCTATAATGTGTATTTAATTCAATTCTTTAAAGTGTTTTAAAATTTTGCTAATATCTGCACAGAGCTTTAAAATCTGTGAATATCTGTTTAAATCTAAGATAGATTATAGCTTTGTCCCAACAACATGTTTTTTCTCCATATTGCAGCTACATCAACAAAATACATTCAGATGCTCTTCTACTGTGCTCTGACGGACCTGGACATAGATAAGGAACCTACAGAAGCAAAGAGTGAATAGAGGTGTCCTGACCTCTAGAGTAATTACTCCTCTAGAGTAATTTCTGTAATCTAAAGTTTTCCCCATGTGTTTGGTTGCACTAAAGCACTATCATCTATTGTACCATGTATCATTTGAATGTCTGTTAATTTGTGCTTGTTTTAAAAAACCATTGCTGCTGAAGGCACTTGCYGGTTCCTGCTTGATTTTTTTTTAAATTTCATGTTTGTTAATAGTGAATAAACAGCTTATTGAATAGCACTTTGAAATTTATAAAGCACTATGTGAACAAACATTTTTTAGTACATAATTACTGAGTTAATTCCAAAAACTAAATAAAATTATTAAGTCTGGTCAAAATATTGAGAAATCAATTGATAAATATAACAAAAGGTAAATCAGATATTTCAAGATTCAAAATCTGAGAGATGGAAAGGAAGGCAGGGAGGAAATGGTTGAGCCAGTATAGCATAATAGTTGTTACCTTTCCTAGAAAGAGATCTAGGTTTCATCATCCTATTTAAATACCTGGAGCCAGAAAATAGCAAGGGCTATAAAAGCCAAATAGAGTTTCATACTTTTTTCTGATCCAAATTGACATTCCTATCTTCTTGGAAGTGATGGCCCAGGTACCTTTGCTTTTCTTCATTGATTCTTTCCTTCTCGTAGTGTACCATTCTCTTTGTCACTTCTCTCTTATTCTGCTTGATTCCCCCATGTCTCTTCCWGATCTACTTTTTCATAAAAAATGCAATAAAAAGAGATCTTTTATATTATTTTGGATTATTTTTGATCATAGCAGTGATGTCAGTCATATGGCAGATATTAGAATGAACAGTCCTTAATGCCACATGCGTTACCAAATGACCATTTTGACCTATCCAACTCCCCTAAGAGATCGTTACCCTACCATAAGGATCCTCTAGAGAGGGGCACCGGATCTCAGCCTTGCCTACTGGATAGCATAAAGAGTTTGCTGCTCGCTGACAAGTTCTTGTAAGCACCTCTCTGCTGTCAGTGAATTTCATGAAATAAAAAGGCATTAAGGACTATATCTAATGTTTCAAATATAAAATTTTTCAGTGTGGTACATTACGATGCCAAAATACCCGTCCTAATTCCCAATCTCCTGAAATGGGAGATAGTAACTACATATATATATATTTATATAAAAGGATAAGCAACATAAATTAAAAAAAAAGTCTGCCTCAGCTCTGATATGTACAACCCTTTGTTATCCTTGTTGGCAAGTTGTAGATTTCTTTTTGCAACTATATGGRAATATATCATATAAGGTTTGTAATTTTAATGTAATCATTCCTATTCAGTTAGCCTTACTTAGGGTAATTTTAATCCAATACAAGTTCCTTTAGCTTCTTGTTAATGTGTGCTCACAGAATGAAGAATCCAAGAAGGAAGGGGGAAGAAGGGTGGCTGTTGACACAAAACCTTTCTTCTTGCTCTCCCACATTGTGTGATTATCTTCAGGATTGTGGTTTTGTGCATCACCAGCCCAGTGTTGTTGAGAGGGTTCCCATATAAACYGATACTTGGAATTCAATGCCATCTACTGCAGCTGTTTCTCTTCCAGATGAGCTTTCTTTTCAGCAGAATATGGCAATAAAAATGCACTAAATTAAGGTAAGCACAAAGACAGGAGAGCTGCATGATTTACTTTCTGGAAGCCTCAGCTTTCAACTCCTAAAATGACTTAATATCTCAATAGCAAAATGGTAAGAGGAAAGAAGCCTTAGCATTTAGTTTGCCAAGGATGCCCTCACATAATCTTTGTATAACAAGTGTCTCTACTGAAGTCTCCACCATTTAGTTTCAGCTCTACTATTGTAAAGAGGAACTGAACTTTTGTTCATCTTTTACAAGTCATTTGTTTTTTATGTATTACGGTTATTTACGCCTCTCTCTCTGATGTGATACAAGCTCTATGAGTCAGTACCAGATCAAACATGACGGTCTCCATCCCCACAGAGTTCCAAGTCATGTTTGCTGTGGAGCTGTGTGTCAGAGCTGCTTACACCAGACRACTCTGTGACAGCCTGTGAGGCTTCCTTTATAGGACCAAAGTGACTGTTGGACACAACTGAGACAATGAATGTATGGCACTAACTAAAAGTGATGTAACAAAGATTATTTACCAAGACTGGTTCCATTGGGAAGTCTGGGCTGAATAGTGGCTTTCTTTGTCTATTAATTTTATACCAAAAGTCTAAATTTGTTTAATTCCTGGATATGATGCACAAATCTTCATTTTCTTTCCTTACGAGCAGAAGACAAATGGAGGGAAACTCCACATACAAAGCTTAAAAAAAAATGTGGATGAAGATACTGAAATTCTGTCTAGGCCTATCAGTTCTGTTCATATTAATATGTGTTTCATTGATTTTTTCACTCCTTCCAGATAATATGTGTAAATTATTGTCAACTATTTAAAGCAAGCTATAGGTGCTAAAGCATCTAAATAAATAAACATCTGATCCCTGTAAAATGCTGCAGTTTTGTGGTTTTTGAATTAAAAACAGTATTGCTAGTCAAATTTGCCCTATGATATATCTCATAGTTTAGTTTCAATAATATCAGGAGAGCAAAAAGACACTACCCTTCTTTGTGTTTTCTTTAACATAACAAAACAAGCATTTATTGGAGGAAAAACATCTGCTTGCTTCAGGTGGGACACTCTTTCAGTAGRGTTATGAGCAGTAATTTACCTGAACACTTTTTTGTACAAGCCTTGGCATACACATTATTTGCAGTTTCCTGACTATACAGCCAAACGCCTTGTTTTCAGCAAAAGTCTTGGTATCTAAGACAGTAACATGTCATTACATGGTGATTTATTAGAAGCAGGCTGTTTGACATCCTGTGTGTCAGCTGACATATCCATGGAAAAAGGGAGTAATGATAACATTGGTCAAAAGAACAGTGTGGGAGAAAGATGATGTGTGGAACAATTTGGTCATTTCAAGAAACATCTTTTAAAATGGTTTTCAACCTCTCTATAGAGGTCTGACAGTTAAAGGCGAAGCCCTACACTGTGATGCTAAATGGTTTGTAGAATAAAGTTTAGTCTTTGGAAGATGTGACTTGTTGAGGAGGTGTAGCAAGCACAGTGGGGTGCAGAGCAGGGCAGCCTGGTGCCAGCACTGCCAAGGAGAACAGCCCATGCAAGAAGCTGGTTTCAGGAGGCAAAAGTTGGAGACTACTAGGGAGTACTGTTCTTTAGGAACAAAAAAAGATACAGCATTCCTGCTTTGTTCAGTTCTTTGAATAAGAAGAATCTATTGGAGAAGTATTGGTATCAGATTCCACTTCTGTATCGGCAAAGAAAACCATATGGAGAAACAGTATGAGTTTTGCATGAGCCTGAAGAGCTGGAAGGGTTGTTGCTGTAGGTGAGAAAAGGATATTACAGTGGGAAACAACTAGGCATATATGTGACCTGCACTGTCCAGGTTACAGCACTCTAACAGACAAAATGGGTTTGGTAGATAGGTAACTTGATGCTGATAGTTAAGACCCTTCCTGAATATACCTTGACATTTACCGTCATGTGCAACAGGAACTTTAGAAGTTTTGTCCCATAGTCTCTATATTTGTAATACTAGATTTGCCTAGTCTCTGTTCTGTAAGATGTGAGGTTAAGCTGTGATGTTTAGCTGTGAAGAAAATCAAGTAGAATTGATTTTTCAAGCACTGAGTGGCCTCCAAACATCTATGTCAAATGCTATAATCTTGCAAGGTTCACAAAGGCCCTAAAATTGGAGAAGAGAGATAGTAAATAAAATTCAAAAGTGAGAGAATAAATGAAATACAYCAAAATGTGAATCTAAGTAAGATGCTGGACAGTAAGTGGAGAACAATTTCTGCAGTTGTGCTATGTATCAGTTAGGAGTCYTGAACTGGTCATAACCAGGATTTCGTAGAATCATAGAATCATAGAATCCTTAAGATTGGAAGGAACCTCTAGAGAATATCGAGTCCAACCCCCCTGCACACACAGGGTCACCTAGAGCACATGGTGCAGGGCTGCGTCCTAGTGGATTTTAAAAATCTCCAGAGAAGGAGACTACACAACCTCTCTGGGCAGYCTGTTCCAGGGCTCTGTCACCTTCACTGTCAGAAAATTTCTCCTTAAGTTCCTGTGGAACTTTTGGTGCTTCAGTTTGTGGACGTTTCCTCTAGTCCTATCCATGGCCACCACTGAAAAGAGGCCGCCCCCTCCTCCTCACTGCCTCCCTTGAGGTATTTATAGACACTGATCAGGTCCCCCCTCAGTCTTCTCTTCTCCAGGCTGAACAGGCCCAGCTCTCTCAGCCTTTGCTCACAGGGCAGATGTTCCAGACCCCTGATCATCCTGGTAGCCCTGCGCTGGACTCTCTCCAGCAGCTCCACATCCCTCTTGTCCTGGGGAGCCCAGAACTGGACACAGGACTCTAGATGTGACCTCACCAGGGCTGCATAGAGTGGGATGGTGAGATGATGGACCTGCTGGAGACACTCTTCTTAATGTCTTACAGGATCCCATTGGCCTTCTTGGCCACCAGGACCACCCTGCTGTCTCATGGTCAATTTGTCGTCCACCATGATGCCGAGGTCCCTCTTTACAGAGCTGCTCTCCATCAGGTCAGTCCCCAGCCCGTCCTAGTGTCTGGGGTTATTCCTCCCCAGGTGCAGGACCCTTCAACTTGCCCTTGTTGAACTTCATGAGGTTCATCACCCAGTTGTCCAGACTGTTCAGGTCCCTCTGGATGGYGGTCCAGCCCTCTGGGGTATCAGCTACTCCCAGTTTCCTATCACCAGTAAACCTGTTGAGGGGGCACTCCGTCCCTTCATCCAGGTTGTTGATGAATAAATTGAACAAGACTGGACCAAGGACTGCCCGCCTGGGGGACACCGCTAACTACAGGCCTCCAACTGGACTCAGCATCACTGATCACCACCCTCTGAGCTCTGCTCACCTCACCGTCCACTCATCTCTCCCACACCTCCAGAGCTTGCCCAGGAGAATGTGCTTATTTAGAAACACACATTTAATCTAATAGATGTCACTGAAGTGCATRAAAGATGAGTAGGTTATGAAAATGCCTATTTATTAGCTACTTATTAAAGACATTATTAGACTTAAAGGAGTTTTAACAGGCACGCTGCTTAAACTGACAAATGACCCTAACTTGATCCTGTCATAAGAGAATAAAGGAGCATTAGTTGGTGTGTGCTATAACCCAGCAACACATAGAGCAGAAGCTGGCAGTTTTTTTTAAAGAGTTGGTCACCCATAACATGCTTGTGTCAAAAGACTGAACTGAATACATAAGAATGCAAATATAGCAAAGATTAATTCAGCAATATATTTATTTAGATTTGAAAAAAAAATGGAGTCAAGGAAGAAATACATACTCATTTGAGACTGTAACAAATCCTCCTCAGAAAGACCAGTTGTTTAGAATTAGAAGGTGGGAGACACGACTGTCATGACCATCAGCCCAAGGCTGAGTTTCTAAAGAAGGGGCCTGGCCCATTCAGATGCATTTCTAGAATTGCACAAAGGAAGAATTTAAGAGCCTGGATGTAATATAAAGTTGCAATTATGCCTTTGGATTAAAACAACTATTTTATGATGATATTTATTTTTGATAAGCCATTGCTCTTGCCCATAGTGTGCCATCATATAAGGAAAGCCTAATTTCACCTTTCTCATGGCATCTTAGAGTATATGTCCTGTCTGATCCAGTGAGCGTGTGGTCATGGAAGCAGTTTAAAATTTCTCCTGGAGTTACATTTTACTCCACAAGAGGGAGAACTTTGCCTCATGCTTCCAAGAGCGAAAAAAACACTGTTTTGAGACCTTCTGCTTGGTGCCATTACAGTGCAATGCAACATGTTTATTCCTATCCACAATGAGAGGCTTAACTCCAATGCTGAATGTCTGCTACACAGCCTGAATAACGTGCTATAAAAGTTTGCTGCAAAATTAAATGAAAATTAAAACATTCCTCTTTCTTTATAGGACTGTCTTTGTGCCTRTGTCAGAAGACAGATTTTTTTTTCCTATTGGCTGTTCTCTATGTACCATAACATACATCATTCAAAAGGATCATGAGAACCTGAAAACCACAAAACTAAAAAAAAAAAAAAAATACATGGAAAAAAAAAAAAAAAAAAAAAAAAAAAAAAAAAAAAAAGTTTCAATATCTGAGCAGTTCTCAAGTCTCAGATTTTCCTTTTTTATTCCCTCCACTTTTTTTCAGATAAAACCTCTCAAATCTCCCTAGGTGGTAAAAAGCTATTTATAAAGACACACTCCTTGGAAAACACAGCACTTAGGTCAAATCAGTTGCATGTTGCACTCCTGCCAWTATGATGTCAGTTCATGAGCAGCTATGGCCTTTGTTCTATATATATATTTATTATTTTTCCATAACACTCTCTTGAATAAACTTCTGCTTCAGCTGCCTTCTGGAGTAATGCCCTAKCTCTGCCCACTTAGTTGGATACCGAGCCATCCTTGCCTTCCACCTCAGCTGCCAACTCTGTTTATTACCATCTGCTGCTGGTAATGCTATCAAAATTCTGAAGTAGACTGAATTAGCTCCAGCTAGTAATAGCTGCAAGTGAAAAATATGAACAGAGCGGGCAAGGTTTCTGTCAGTCATTGCCAGTAAAAGGTAGCAAGTAGAGAAGGACATGGATGTTTCCTCCTCTCCAATTTTGTTCGTTTTCTTCTGAAGCTGAGCATCTGCATTAGTTGTGCTGCTTGCTGCTCCCTGTATGTCAGCTATTCATCTCAAACCAAAGCTCCCAGTAGAAGCATTGCTTAAGTACTACTAAGTCTAAGTAGCAGCACACCTGACCTCTACTGGTTTCCATTCATGCCCACATTGCACTTACAATGCCCTTTAAGATGCCATCATCCCCCTGCTTTGCTTACACATGAACTTTGACTCTTCCTCCTTCAATGGGATACACATTTAGGGGGACATGTTTGCACTCTCCGCATCTGAAGAGGAAATTACTGCTGCTGGAGCAATTCCAGATGACCCAGAATATATTGTTTGCCTTCTCCCTAGCCTCCTTGAGCTCATTAGCACTTCAGATATCACGCTGGCTCCTATTTAGCTAATATTCCCCGTA